TTTTTATTTTTTTGGATTTTGTAAGTTTTGGTCCTTTTTTTAAAAATTTTAAAAGCACTGATTTTTAACGATTTGGGCGAAACCCTAGATCACCTACTAGTTTAATTTGAAAAAGATTAAGTATGATGAACATGCATTTCATCTCTTTATTTTCATTTTACTTTTTGTATATGTTAATGTTTGTTTTGGAAAAACTTTCGGCTCTGATCACCTATTATCTTTTCGTTACACGTTCTCACGCACTCAAAGTTTTATCAAACCGTTCTTAGCACTCAAAGTTTTATCAATTTTATTGTGTTGTTACAATGAACAATCAATTTTATTGTGTTGTTACAGTATATTTGTTGTCGAACAATTCTTAGCTATTTTAGAAATATTTTTTTGAACTTTTTGGACTTCAAAAATAACCTTTTTACTAATCCCATGTTTTTGTACAATGAAACAAATACAAAGCTAGATTCATTCACTATTTTACCCTGATATTCTAGCTCCAGTTCCCTCTCTCTCTCTCTCTCTCTCTCTCTCTCTCTCTTCCTACTTCACTCGATACCTCATCGCTCCCTCCGACTGCATCTCCGATCTGCAACACTACACCAGCCCTTTCGCCACTAGCCGACCACCGCCTCCTCCAATAGACGCCGTCGGAAGCGCTGTCCTCTAGCTCCCTAAAAGTCGTCGACAACAGCTCTCGGTAAGGTTTTTTTGTCCTTCTGTTACCAAACATAATGTGTTAACAAAATCACATATTATGTAGAAATCCCATAGAGAACAAACTGGGTTTGTAATTTACCAACGTAATAATTTGTTAGTTAATCGTTCTATTATTTTGCCAGATAAAATGGAGCATAGTTCTATTATTTAGCTAATTGTAGTTATTCTCCTGGCCTTTGGTTAATGGATCGGGAACGAAGAAGACAACCTTTTGAACACAGAGATATCACATTTAATGATACATGAAATTACTTAGGTTACCTAAACATATTTGTCTAATTTATTTAAATAACAATTCAACTAAGAAACCAACTCAACCCATTGAATGTCTAAAAATAATGTAAATGATCACTTAAATGACCGATTATATATAAAAAAAAAAAATTAGATGACCAAATTACAATAAAATATAAAGTTAATGACTTAAAAGGTACTACTTTGTTTTAAGTTCATATTTAAACAACAAAGTTTTTTTGTTACCATTGAATTTGTTTCATATATTCAAAAAGAAGTAATATTAATATATTACCGGTTGTTACAGATAATATTATTATTTTTTGAACATATAAAACAAAATGGATGATGAATCATATATATATATATATATATATATATATATAATATATATATATATATATATATATATATATATATATATATATATATATATATATATATATATATATATTAGCTAAATATGAGCAGAAAATAAAAATACTACCTTTCAAATCATCAACCCTTCTTACAACGGAACCAAGAACTTACTTAGATTTATAAGTAGAAAAAAATCGCATCCTATTTTTCGTTTTTGATACGTAATAGCACTATACTTATCATATTTTACTAAAACTAACACTTTTAACATATGTAGGAACATACTTGTCATTAACAAAATTAAGTACTTACTTAGATTTATGAATGGCTTACTTTAATTGTTCATCCCTTAATAGCAACATAATTTCATTTTTATCACATAATAACATCATACTTTCATTTTCATCCCATAATAACATCATACTTTTATTTTTATGACATTATAACATCATACTTTCCTTTTTATCACATAAAAGCATCATACTTTTTTTTTTATCCCATAATAATATCGTAATTTCTTTTTTAACACATAATGGCATCATACTTTCATTTTTATCTAATAATAGCATCAAATTTTCATTTTTATCACGTAAGAGCATCAAGCTTATCGTTTTTATCCCATAATAGCATCATACAATCCTTTATAAGAAAAAAAATACATAATGTTAAATTAGACTTGCAAAAAAGCTATAAAACAGACTGTTGTTAAGCAAATCAGCATAAATTGCTAGATTAGATTTGAAAAATTGCTAAAAAATACATCTGAAATGAAAATCATTTACTTCAAATTAGATAAATCTAGGAATTCCACTAAACTTTCGTTATAGTTTTTCTTTGTACAGAGCCTTAGATGTGAGAAACATGCACCACTTGACCTTCTTTATGGATTTGATCTTTTTCATAAGACATTACCTCAAAAATTACAACATTATACTTCCAAATGTAGTTACAACCTGTTAGGGTTCTCATATTGTATGTCTATCAATCACAACATTACCATTTTCTAACTCTTTTCTTATTTCTTTTAGTGCTATAAGGATATCTAAATAAGTGAAAAGATGAAAACCAGGAACAAAATTCTTTTCAAATTCATTATAGTTGTAAAAAAACAGACACAGACAAAGGGAAATTTGGAGATTTAAAAGTTAAATTTTTTTTTTTTTGCAATCTGTTATGCTTCTAAAGCTATTTATCATCTCGACCTTTTTGTTGACCAAAAATAGTACGTGTCAAATATCTCTCTAATTTGCTTATTTAAATTGTTAAACTTTCACTATTTTCTCATAGCACTTAAATTATCTTGTTGGCATCATTTATTAAAAAAAAAAGAATTGGATTTACCATATATTATATTTCTAGTCGAAGCTGTCAATATCCAAGCATATAAGGGGGCAAAAATGTCATGAGATTAACATTAGAAGCAACATTAAAAATTATCAGTTCAAATTTTAAAGTAAAAAGAAAGGGAGGATGTATGTGAAATTTGGGTATATTAATTAAAATAATTACATCATCGTAATTTTGGTTGGAGCCATGAACTTTAAAATTGAATATAAGCATTTTCAAAAAATTATGAAGAAAATCATATTATGCCTAAAAAAACTATAAAAATTAAAAATAAACAACCAAGTTTTATTTCATTTAATAATTGATTTAAAACAGATAAGTATGAGCTCGATACAATTGTAGCAACCTACTTTAATTTATTTTAATAATTGTTTTAAAAGAGATAAGTAATATGCTATAAGTGACATAAATAGGAAAAAAAAAACAACAAATTTGTAAAAGACAAATGACTTTTTTTTCCCAATCATGTATTAATAGCATTTTTTTAAATTACTCAAAATTAGAAGGGAAAGGCGTTACTTAAAAGGGAAAATAAAAAGGTATTGGCCAAAATGCTATTATACCATAGGTTTGAAACAGACACATGTATTTGAATGAGCACATTGACTATTTTGAAAAACAATGCACCATGCCTGGTGTTATGAAGATTTGACATGAAAGTTTGTAAAAAATATATTTTAATTTTTAAATAGATTGCCATTTCAAGTACACAACAATTTTTCTCCATACACAACAATTGGTGCTTTAAAATGTTGTATTGTACATCTATATAATGCATGAATTGTTGTGTATGCCAAAAAATTGTTGTGTACGAATCACTACCCATTCATTAAGTAATGGGGATAAAGCCACTTCATTAACAGAGAAAAGGAAATTTAGGATAAAAAAGACGAAAATGCACTTTACCCATTTGACATACTGTAGAAGTCTTTTCGTTGTAATACACAAATTATAAAAAATAATAAAATAAAAATATGATTCTCTATGACAACACCAACGTTTTTAACCACAATAACTTTTTTGAATAAACTTGCATGACACATTATATTATCAAAGATTAGACATGAAAGTTTGTAGAAAAAAATAAAATAATTACAGTGCCAGTTCAAGGACAATGTCTGTTCTCTTTACAGTTTACATAATTGATAATTTGTTTCCCTGCATTTGCATTTAAACAGACATAGTTCATAGTTTGATTAAAACAATTTCTGCCACCGCCCTTATTTGGTTAAATGAAAGTGAAAGCATTACACTTTCTAGAATATAAAATGTTTACAACCATGCATTAGTGACACAAATTTCACAGAAAATTTTCGTTTTCAAGTTTATATTTAACAACAATTAGAGCAAAGTATTACCTGATTATGCAATTGACCCAAATTCACTAATGAGTTGAAGCTAGAGAAAGGATAAACAATTAAAAAAAACATCGGATCATATAAAATATAAATTCAAGATTGGAAATTGTTATGAGGAACGATTTCATTCCAAAACAAATACATCGGGAAATTATTCATCTAATCCTTCCTTTAATCATATTGATCATTCTAATTATACATTTTACTCGTGTAAATAGTGACTACTAACATTAAACGATACATAGAAGGAATGAATAGATTTTGAGTTGTCATTATCATTTGAATTAATTATTATAATGATGTGGCTTAAATAATATAACGTTGTGGCAATTAATAAATAGAAATGAACAAAATAACAAATTGCAAGTGGAAAATAAATCAGTCTAAACTGCCCGAAAATTAACATGTGGCAAAGTCAATGAGAAATTGACATTTGGCATAAAAGTTTTTTATTTATTAGGGTAGATACTAACGATTCAATATATTTAAGAAAAGAATATGGTATAATTATAACATCCTATAGTTGTTAGTTTTTTTTGTTGTTTACTATTTTTGGAAATTCGGGCATCGATACTCTTATGAGGAAAACATATACTAAATACAACTATTTTGTTAATGAAAAATGATTATGTGTATCATTGGATAAAAAGCATATAATAAATTAAAAAAATAAGAATACAAGGGTTACAGTTCAAAAGTAGCATAATATCTCTAGTTGATTTAAAATGTATAATTATTTATTGAAAAGTTTATAATAAGATTTTAAATGAATTTTTTTTTTCATAAAACATGTTTTGCAGTTACATTAAATTCAGCGAGTGAGTTGATTTCATACAAAAAAAGACGAAGAAGTAGAGTATGGGCTTGGGCTTTCTATTGGGCTAGTAGTAGTGTTTAACTTTTTATGTCTTAATGTCAAAGTGACAGAAAATTTAAAGTATAGGGGTGAAAGTGTAAATAGTTCATTCAAAATTATTATAGTAGTAGTGTTTAACTGTTTATATTGATTTCTCCTCATGTTAAAATTAAAATCTCCCTTATTCATTTTTAGACGATTTCTAAATGAAATCATCTCTATTGATCTAGAGTGAAAGAACATATACAAATCACGACCTCTGATCACTGTTTTCCCCACTGATTTATGATCAGTATATGTTCTCAGCTGCAACTCTGAGCTTAAAACTAGACGATGAAGAAAGAAAAATCAATGTTAATTGCAAACCCTAGTGGAACTACCGAAGAAAATTCATCTTTTTCAAACAGAGTATTCCTTCTAGAAGATGAAGAATCAGAGATGCAACAAACTACTAGTGACTTCCCTTTGCCAATCGCCACTCGTAATGGTTCCTCCAAATACGATTTCGTCAAGGTTTATTGCTTCTCTAATCCTTAAGTTTCTTCCTACTTCTTGTTGTGATATATAACTTTAGCTGATTTTACATTAATTTATCTAATTAGCTATGTATAGATAGGTGTAAACGATTGCGTTGGTTATAGGTTTTGCTACTTTGTTTTCAGGTGAAAGTATGGTTGGGTGATAATGCTGATCATTACTATGTCCTCTCTAGATTTTTGCTTAGCAGAATGTTGACTGTTACTAAGGTGTTTTCGACATTTCTTTGTTACTTATTCTTCGTATTATCATTCCAGTAAAGTTTTATGTTAAACATCATAGTGTTTTTGTCTTCAGATTCCTAATCATGTCGCTGTAAAAATTTCCCTTGAACTCAAGAAGCTGCTCACCGATAATAGCCTTCTGGACGTGTATGTCATCATAGCATATCCTCCAAATACTACCTTAACATATGTCTCTTTAAATCTTATATAATAGTTTTTTGCAGCTCTCAATCTGATCTGGAAGCTAATTTGTTTAAGGTATATATATATATATACATATATATGTATATATATATATATATATATATATATATATATATATACACACCCCTGTTATCTCCATTTTAGCCATGTTTGAGTTTTTACAGTATGCCACTTTCAAAATGAAAGACATAACCATAATTATAACTTTGATTGCAGGTCATGGAAAGGCGGGCTATGGGCAAGAATATATAAATCATTACAAGATGATGGCAAGGTATTTCCCAACTCCCCTTTTGTCTCTTTTTATAAATTCTTAATATAGTAATTAAATCTTTCTTTTGTATTTATACCTTTTGTAGATTTCACCATCAGCGAGTACCATTAGTTATTCTTGTATGTGACACAGCATGTGTTGGAAAGTCAACAATTGCTACCCAGCTTGGTCAAAGGCTAAACTTGCCAAATGTTTCACAAGTGAATCTTGATCTCCCTTGTTTTTCTATATTTCAAATATATAAACACATAGTTTCATTTTTCTTGATGTTACAGATAGATATGGTGTATGAATTGCTAAGAACATCAACAGAGTATGTAACATATCAACACTTATATATGACAACTTAATACACATATTCTTATTTGAATACAAACTACCATATAATATAGTAATATACCACTTTGTCTTTTCTCAGTGCACCTTTGACATCTTCACCTATTTGGGCACGCGACTTTATTTCATCAGAGGAACTAATTACTAAATTTTGTAAAGAATGCAGAATCGTTCGAAAAGGTAATGTACTTTTTGTTTAAATCAAATTATTTTTTGTTTGTTTTTTTACATTAAAGGACTTTCTTTTGTTTTGTCATACGTTTGGCTGGTGATTTAAAGAAAGCAATGAAAGATGGGAAGCCGATCATCATTGAGGTAACACAAAGTACACTTTTTTATGGCAAATCATTCGTTCTCATGTAGATACAACAAATATTGTCCTTTTTTGCCCTTGCAGAGGATGCATGTGGATCCTAGTATATATTTAATGGATGAAGAGAACAAATCACCACATAAGGCTTCAAAAACATATGAAAATGACTTAAAAGACACATAAAATAATGTTGAAATTTCCAAAACATAAGCAATTGGAGAAGAGTTGGATAAAGTTTCAGATGGGGTAAAATCTGTCCATATTGTTGACCAAGCTTCTTGTAGTCAAACTTAGCTCTTAATTTTATTTATTTATTTTTATTTTGTTACTTTCTTATTTCTTATTTGGCCATTCAGATGACAGTAAGCCTATTTAAAGAAGAGAAAAATTCGGGGTCACTAAACCGGTAATAATTCATATAGTCCTTAAGATGGCAGAATTTGATCATAAGGTAAAGATTATTAATAATTCACATCATTTTTTTCTTTTCTTTTCTTTTTCCTTTTTTAAAATTTGAAAATATCACTTGCTCTTATCATATGGAGGCACTACTAGAAGAGTGAATATCTAGCAGGAAATTCAGTAATAAGTATCCAATCCATGTGTCAAAATTTATTAAGATTTATTATTTATTGTTGATCTAGGAAAGAAAAATATATTGATTTTTTTTAATGTTTTCAGGAAAAAGATAAAGTGATTAACAACTTAAAAACCATTCAAGATTATCTATGCTCATTTAAATCACATGGATTAATAGTTGCTAATATATCTGCTACAACATTCCCACAAACTCTTGATTGGCTGCACAATCATCTCCTTCAGGTATAATAAAACTTGCCTAATTTCTGTTTAAATATAAAGTCAATAAATCGAAAGTTTTTTGAAATTAGCATGAGCTATAGTTGGTGATAATATTTGTTAAGATTCTTTTACTTCCTGATATTTTTTTTTAGTGTATTGAGCAAGGTATATCGGCTGCCTCAAAAGGAAGCAGTAATCAGACATGTGGAAGTTAAGAGTACAGATTAATTAATATCTTGAAAAGTTGTTTGTTTTGTTTAATGGAATGGATGATTCCTGCAATGGGCAGAATGTGATTCCTTTCATTGTGTATATTGACTTTTTTTATAAGTATAAAAATGTTTTGTAGCATTAGGTTCTGTTGATTTGACTTTCTGATCTTCAAACTTGTTTTTCTATTATTATGCTCTAAAGTCTAAACAAACCATTGTTGCATGCTTCATTAGGATGGACAAAATTAAAGTGTTAATTTCAAAATTATTGTTGATTTAGATCTAAATATACTTGTTTTAGAAAATTTAATGCGTTGTTTGTGTACTTGAAATGCTTTAATACATTGTTGATTTAGGAAAAATGACAAGTTTACTATTTGAACAATTTAAGGATAAACAAAACAAACAACTTTTCATAACTTACTGTCAAAGTGATAGAAAATTTAAAGTATAGAGGTGAAATGTAAATAGTTCATTCTAAATTATTAGAATACTAGTGTTTAACTGTTTATATTGCTTTCTCCTCATGTTTTTTTTTGAAAGTGCAATTTCTCCTCATGTTAAAATCTCCCTTATTCATTGTTAGCTTCGTAAAATGAGAGGTGCTTCTTAGATGATTTGCATGATTGCGATGTTCTGAATGAAATCATCTCTATTGATCTAGAGTGAAAGAACATATACAAATCACGACCTTTGGTCACTGTTTTCCCCATTGATTTATGATCGGTATATGCTCTCAACCGCAACTCTGTAAAACCAGACGATGAAGGACAAATCAATGTTAATTGCAAGCCCTAGCGGAACTATCGAAGCAAATTCATCTTTTTCAAAGAGAGTATTCCTTCTGGAAGATGAAGAATTGGAGAAGCAACAAACTACTAATGACTTCCCCTTGCCAATCGCCACTCGTAATGGTTCCTCCAAATACGAAGCACATCTCATTTTATATTGTTTTCTCCTCATGTTTGTTTTGTTTATCCTTAAACTGTTCAAATAGTAAACTTGTTGTTTTTCCTAAATCAACAATGTATTAAAGCATTTCAAATACACAAACAAGATATTAAATTTTATAAAACAAGTATATTTATATCTAAATCAACAATAATTTTAGAATTAACACTTTAATATTGTCCATCCTAATGAATGAGCAGATATATTAGCAACTGTTAATCCATGTGGTGATAATATTTGTTAAGATTCTTTTATTAGCAATAAATCAAAAGTTTTTGGGAATGTTGTAGCAGATATATTAGCAACTGTTAATCCATGTGACTTGAATAAGCATAAATAATCTTGAATGGTTTTTAAGTTGTTAATCACTTTATCTTTTTCCTGAAAACATTAAAAAAAATCAATATATATTTTCCCTAGATCCAACAATAAATAATAAATCTTAATAAATTTTGACACCTAGATTGGATACTTATCACTGAATTTCTTGCTAGATATCCACATTTCTAGTAGTGCCTACAGATGATAAGAGCAAGTGATATTTTCAAATTTTAAAAAAGGAAAAAGAAAACAAAAGAAGAAAATGATATGAATTATTAATAATCTTTACCTTATGATCAAATTCTGCCATCTTAAGGACTATAGGAATTATTACTGGTTCAGTGACCCCGGATTTTTCTCTTCTTAAAATATGCTTATTGTCATATGAATGACCAAATAAGAAATAAGAAAGTAACAAAATAAAAATAAATAAATAAAATTAAGAGCTAAGTTTGACTACCAGCAGCTTGGTCAACAATATGGACAGATTTGACCCCATCTGAAACTTTATCCAACTCTTCTCCAATTGCTTATGTTTTGGAAATTTCAGCATTATTTTCTGTGTCTTTTAAGTCATTTTCATCTGTTTTTGAAGCCTTATGTGGTGATTTGTTCTCTTCATCCATTAAATATATACTAGGATCCACATGCATCCCCTGCAAGGGAAAAAAAGGTCAATATTTGTTGTATCTACATGAGAACGAATGATTTGCCATAAAAAAGTGTACTCTGTGTTACCTCAATGATGATCGGCTTCCCATCTTTCATTGCTTTCTTTAAATCACCAGCTAAACATATGACAAAACAAAAGATAGTCCTTTAATGTAAAAAAAACAAACGAAAAACAATTTGATTTAAACAAAAAGTACATTACCTTTTTGAACGATTCTGCATTCTCTACAAAATTCAGTAATTAGCTCCTCTGATGAGCTAAATTCACATGCCCAAATAGGTGAAGATGTCAAAGGTGCACTGATAAAAGACAAAGTGGGATATTACTATATTATATGGTAGTTTGTATTAAGATAAGAATGTGTGTATTAAGTTGTCATATATAAGTGTTGATATGTTACATACTCTGTTGACGTTCTTAGCAATTCATACACAATATCCGTCAGTAACATCAAGAAAAATGAAATTATGTGTTTATATATTTGAAATATAGAAAAACAAGGGACATCAAGATTCACTTGTGAAACATTTGGCAAGTTTAGCCTTTAACCAAGATGGGTAGCAATTGTTGACTTTCCAACACATGTTGTGCCACATACAAGAATAACTAATGGTACTCGCTGATGGTCAAATCTACAAAAGATATAAATACAAAAGAAAGATTTAATTACTAAATTAAGAATTTATAAAAGGGGACAAAAGGGGGAGTTGGGAAATACCTTGTCAACATCTTGTAATGATTTATATATTCTTGCCCATAGCCCGGCCTTTCCATGAGCTGCATCAAAGTCATAATTATTGTTTTGTCTTTGATTTGAATGTGGCATAATGTAAAAACTTAAACATAAATAAAATGGAGATAACAGGGGTAGATGTATATACCTTAAACAAATTAGCTTCTAGATTAGATTGAGAGCTGCAAAAAACTAATATATGAGATCTAAAGCGACATAGGTTAAGGTAGTATTTGGAGGATGTGATATGATGACATACACGTCCAGAAGGCTATTATATATGCGCAGCTTCTTGAGTTCAAGGGAAATTTTTAGAGCAACATGATTAGGAATCTGAAAACAAAAACACTATGATGTTTAACTTAAAACTTTACTGGAATGATAATACGAAGAATAAGTAACAAAGAAATGATGAAAACACCTTAGTAACAGTCAACATTCTACTAAGCAAAAATCTAGAGAGGACATAGTAGTGATCAGCATTATCACCCAACCATACTTTCACCTGAAAACAAAGAAACAAAACCTATAACCAACGCAATCGTTTACATCTATCTATACATAGCTAAGGAGATAAATTAATGTAAAATCAACTACAGTCATGTATCACAACAAAATATAGGACGTAACTTAAGGATTAGAGAAGCAACAAGCCTTGATGAAATCGTATTTGGAGGAACCATTACGAGTGGCGATTGGCAAAGGGAAGTCATTAGTAGTTTGTGTTGCGTTTTGTACGCATCAATTACACTCTAAAACTAGGTAGAGGAAAAATCGAAAGAACAATATACCTAAGTGTACATGAATCCTATGGATCTATGGCTTCATGCTAATTACATCAACCCTAGAAAACTAAAACATAAGTAAGAAAACACACCTCAAATGTAGCCCTTGATCTCCATGCTTGAGATCTTGAACCTCCATGAAGTTGCTTGGATGAAAGGACCCAAACCAAAATCCCTCTAATGGTGTCACACCTTATGACACCAAAGAATGGAATAAAAATAACTAGGAGAAAGGTCAATTTCACAAACCCAAAGGGGTTAGAAATCATTACTAAGAGTGGGAAGAAGAAGGTGCAAGTAGGAATGAAATCCTTAAGGCCCTATTTATAGCCTTGGATGCCTCCTAAGGTTTAGTATTCCTTCCCATGTGGGATGGAGGCATAACCACGAAATTTCACTCCTTTCCCATGTGGGACGGAGTGATTTTCATCCAATCCTAATTCCATAATGTTCTAGAACATTCCTCATTAACTAACTATCGATTAATGAACATTCAACCCTTTAATTAATTAAACTGTTAATTAATTCCCAAAATATATTTCCAATTAGTTTCTAATTAATTATTAACCATAATAATTAATAAATCAATTTCTCCTTTAATTATTCTACTCAATTTGGGTCTTGAGGGCAACCCAAAAGGACCCTGCTATTATTAGAAATATTACCAATAGTTAATGACCTTGAACACTATTCCAACAGTCTCCCATTTGGACAAGTCATCAACTATACTAGGACTAATACTTCTCCAATAATCAACAAAGAGTTAGCCATCCAATATAACTACTGAACTCTTGATCTAATCAAGATTCAACCCTTAGATAAGTGATCAACTATCCCTTCGTTCTATGATATCTGTATGAATTCAAGACATGGATAATGGTCAATCTCAAAAATTCAGGATTATGTTTCCTGATATAGATTTGGGACGACTGCATCAGACTACTAAATTGAACACATCAATTCTAGTCAGGGCTCGGCCAAGAACTTTAGATGTTAGTACCAAATCATCGAGGGGCCCATAGATATCGCTTCTCCTATTAAGGCAGAAAGAACGAATAAACTTCGATTACATAGTTTTTGTCTATTTCATCATGTCACACATGGACATACCCTTTATAACTACTACTTATAGTTAGCATTGGAGTAGTCCAATGCATAACATAATCATAGAGAAAAACCCCACATGTATCTAGGTTTGAAGAATAGAATACATTATCGTCTTAGAATTACTCGTGACTGAATCCATGAAGTAATCTCTAAGCGTGGGTTGGTCCAATACTTAAATCTCTATTAAGCACTCATGAGTGTTAGCACAATCTCTTTGCTATGTCCAATAAATATGGACAATCCACTAATACTCATGACAGTCTTGAATTACTACTTACTTCGAAGAGTATGTCTGACTATGGATGTTTGAGTAAATTAATACTCGAGAAGTGGGTTCCAAACATGCAAAGTGAGAACGCAATGATAGGCTAATTGAAATGACCGAAATCCACCATATATTAAGATCACCACTTAATAATTGCCAAATCAAATTAAAACCTATATTGCTTAAAGTTCTAGGGTTTTAAAACTAACCAAACTAAGAGTGTTTAAGCCAATTCATTTGCAAATCTAATTAATGCTTCTAGACTTTGTCTGACTGTCAGACTTGGTCAGTGACATTGGCTTAGGAATGGATCAACAAGATTATTTTTCGATATGAAATATTGACTATGACATCTTCACATTTGAATCACTATCAAACACGATGGTATACACTGAGTATACGTCATGTGAGATTGTGTGACTTGGGATCCATACTCTAGGTAAGTTCACCCTTAAAGTCACAAAGAGACTTCATAAGGACGATCAATGATTGAATTTCAACAAAGATGTCACTAATGAATCTCTTTCATCCACATTGTCTTCATTGCAATTTAACCAACCGCAACACACTCCAAGTTTGCAAAATCCACTATGGTGTAATACTTGGTACTCTTCCAAGCTAAAACTTCACAATTCAAAGAAGCACAAAATCCGATTGCAAACGAAAACGTCTTTATTAGTATGGAACTTAGCATCAATGTAACTCTTACAATGATCTCTTCCATACTATCAAGATCATATCTTCTGTCCTCCAAGGACACTTAAAATTTTCTTGATCTTGATTCGTTGATTCTTGGCAAAATTGAAATAATCAAACTTGTGTTGCACGAGACATACAAGTCATTAGATATGGTACATGTCATGACATGTATGATCGATCCCATAACAGAAGCATGTGGGACACGAATCATTTGCTTTAGCTCAATAGTAGAACTAGGACATTAGCATTGCTCATTGTCATGCCATATTGTAATAAGCCTAAACTCCTTTTCAAGTTACCTCAACATTCCATGTAGTTTTGTTTAATCCAATGAATCACTTTGATCTATCTCCATAGATCGTTATTATGCACGTGTCTTGTATCTCCCATGTATATCATAGTGAAACAGTTCTCATACCAAGCCAAGCTTTTACACCTACAAAGTTAGAATACAGTTTCCTATAAATCGTACATTATCTATGTACAATACAAGGGTGACTACAGTGCTCCCAATAGCACTGGCATATATATGGCTTATCTATGTTTTTAGATATTCAAACTCTTTGAACATTTCTTATTAAAACAAAGATTCGAATTACTCCGCACTAGCTTTGACATATATATGGCTTATCTTTATTTCTTGAAATTCAGACTCCTTGAACTTTCTCGTTGAAATAATGATCCCACTTGCAAGATGCTTATTTCGGTCCATAATGAACTTCTTAAGCTTACACATCCTTCAAAACCTATCTTCGTTTAATTATGTGTTTGTTCTTATCCATGATTGTCTCTACTTGAAGATCACTTGCACCTAAGGGTTAAGGTCAAGTGCTAGGTCTACCAAGTTTCAACATACATGGACTGAATCTCGCTTTACATGTATTCCTTCCATGTTGTAGCCTTTAGGGCCTACCATAGCTTCCGATAGATGGTACAGTCTGATTGCTATCTACCAGTGACTCGAATACCTTAGCAATATAAACTCTTATATAACTAGGTACATGACGTCTTCTATCAGATCTATAATGAAAAATGGAAATATGTCAGTTTCCTTAATAGCTCTTTCAATTCCAAATTGAATGTTATGTCTAACTTTAGGATCGTTGTTGGTTGACTCTTGAATCTTATCAAGATCAATGTGGCTCCCACTAGCCCTTTTGGAAATCATCCCCCTCTCTTGGAAGACTGCCCTTTGAGCAACATACACTTTGTTCTTAGAAGGTTGTTAAACAATTATCCAAAATGCTTAATGGGTTCTCTAATGAGATAACACATCTTTAATCAAAGTCCTAGATTGTCGAGCGCTCCACGACAAGCATAAGCCTCATAATCGTAGACTTCCATATATAGCAGTGAGGATAAAATCCCACTTCACATACCGTAGAGTGTTTCAAGAACCTACTTATTTGGCACAATACCAAAGTACTTCTTGTAACATTATTCATGGTACAATCCTCAAATTATTAGCAAACACAATGCAACTCATCTAGTACGAAATCAATGAACGATTTGTTTCTCTATCCAAATAACACTTCCTAGTGGTAGTGTTTTGGGCGGAGATAGATCATGAAACTCTTTTACGATCACTTAGATGATTGATAAAGTTTGGACTGAGACTCTCACTATGAGTGTCTCATCCTATTTCCCAATTGATTCTTAACTTCGCTATATGAGAGCTCTGAACACCTGAGAGGTTCCAGACTCACATTCATATGAAGTTGGTCTCACTATGTATCGTGGTTAATCTGAACGGTCCATTAGTGTGAACTAATTCCAACAGATACTTACATCACCCAGTGACGCATTCATCATCTATCTTGATAAACAATTTTTGCATTTATCATAAAACTCGAGGTGAAATGATATCCAAAATCTATTCCAACTAGATACTTGGTAATGCATTTCTGATTTATGTATCCAATACTATGATTCCACAAATACATTTTAACCAAACATTTGGATGTATTTGAATAAGTACTTATTATGGTCAATTTGAACGATCCATTAGTTGAACGAACATCAACATATATTCACAACAATACACCTTATTTAAATGTTCAAATCAATTTTGAACTATTGCTAGTATACTAGCTTCATACAATCCATGACTGTCTTTTAACATGTTAGAATGCTCCATATTTAAATAAATCAGAACTATCTCATGAATCATAGTATAAACAATTTCAATTATAATACCATCAACTAAACATTTTGAAAAGAGTTTTCTTTTGATCATATGAATGTAGCAAGGGCTTGGAATTCAAGATCAAATTATCTTCTCCATGTTTTAGTCTTCTTACTTCATTTTAGTGACTGCACATTCTTGCAAATGTCAGCACTAATCCTTAGCAACACACTCAAGGTTTAGATGTAATGTTTTGATGGCATTATAAATTCATATATTTGATTGAATAACAAACATGGAAGAACTAGTTATCTTTTGATCCTATGGAAAGTAGCATGGGCTCGTGATCTACAATCAAATTTAACTTCTTCATGTTCCAATCCTTTCACCTCAAATATACATTTAGGTGTAACACTCATAAAAGTTGCACCAATTTAAAACATTTTAATTCATTAAAAAGCCATTAAGTTATAACAATTTGTTTTCAAAAGAGTTTAAACATCAGAGTATCCCCATAACCATATCACAAAATCATGAAGTATGAGGAGCGATACGATCAGGCCTTCTCCTTGCCACGATCTCCTGAAGTACCTAAAACCAAAACACTACAACTGTAAGCCCGAAAGCTTAGTGAGTTATCCCCAAAATACCAACCACATATAACCATACTCATGTCATATCACAATACAGAATAACCATGCATATTAAGTCTACAATGTGACTGGTCTGGCC